CCAGGCAGCGAGACCTGCCGTGGGTTCGGCTACGTCACCTTTTCCCTGCCCGAGGACGCGCAGCGAGCCCTCGAGGAGGCCACCACCTTCGATGGCCGCAAGCTCAGTGTCACGGTGGCCAGGCAGAAGCTGAGGGAAGGGGAAAACCAGAAGCAGCAGCAGCAGGATGCAGCGGTGGCAGGTGAGCTAGGAGCCGCCCGGAGGCCTTATGCTCGGCTGTTATCAGCCTCGTTGGGATCTGGTGGCCTAGAGTTTTGGAGTCTGGTGGGTGGCTGTCCCTCAAGGAGGGCTCAGGAGGGCCTCTGAGAGCAGCTGGAGGGCTGAGTAGTGCTGTGGGGCAGGCTGGCAGGTCTCAGCCCGATCCCAGGCTGCACTAACCCTGAGTCGTTATCTCCACTCTGCTTTAGATGCCCCCCAGGCTGCTTCTGCAGCGAAGCAGAAGCTGAGGAAGCCCAAAGGTGCCTCCAAGAAGGCCAGACTGATCATCCGCAACCTAAGCTTCAAGGTACGGGGGGCTCCGCTCCTGTCTCCTGCCCTTGGCTCAGACTTGGCTTTCCCTGTGTGACCCCTGGAGGCTGGGAAGGCCGCCCCCAGCCCCCAGGAGCATCCCTGCCTGGCAGCTTCTGCCTTCTAGCCCGGTGTGCTGCGATTGAGAAGCTGTCAGGGACAGTTTGGGGCCTGTCCGTGGGACCACTGGCCTGGTCCCTCTGTAGGATGGTTCCCATATGCTGCCAGGGCAGGCGGCTGCAGCCCCCTCCTTGCCTGTTCTGGGGAACGTGTCCTGCGAGGCACTTCTGGCTGCCCCCTGCTCCCCCTCTGGCACCTTTCCTCACCAGACTGGTCTTTTCTGTGTCTGCCCAGTGCTCTGAAGATGACCTGAAGTCTCTGTTCTCTCCATTTGGCACCGTGCTGGAGGTGAACATCCCCAGGAAACCAGGTGAGACTCAGCCCTGGTCCCCGAAGCTGATGAAGCTCCTGGGGAGCGTGTCCCCTCCAGGGACTGCAGAGGGGAGCGATGTGCAGGATCAGTCCCTGTGGGCTGGCTCAGAGATGGTGCTGATGTCAAGGCAGGCCGCAGCCCCCCAGGCTGTGCTGCCCAGCGCTGCCTCCAGCCTTCGCTCCCACTGGAGCTACGCGCTTCAGTGCTCAACGTCTTTGCAAAAAATCAGTCACAGAGATGAGCTAAGCCCTTCAGGCCTTGTAACCCGATTTCTTCTTTTAAGTAGTGAAGGATATTCAGATAAAGAGTATAAAAGTTGGGGTAAACGGGATAGATTTTGTTTGATGAGAAGTCCTGTCCTTGAAAGTCTGAGCTCAGTAGCAGCAGGGTTACGGCTTTCAACATCTACCGCAGTCCCATCCTCGCTGGGTCTGTTTAATGTGTCCTGCAGGGGTGAATTCCCAAACTGAATCATGTGCTGTGGGGGAAAAACACTTTCTCTCGCTTTTCCAAAGCAGTTCCCCACCTGCAGAGGGGCCCCTCCGTCCTGTGTTAGAAGGAACAGCGGATTGGTGCCTACTCACCCTCGGGGCTTTCTGGTCTTTATTATGTTTTCCTTCTGCCTCTTGTCTTTGTTCAAAGTGACCTCACATTCCCCATTCCAGTAGCTGTTCTCATGCCAACGGTCCATGACAGCTTCTGCTGGGCCTTCCCAGGCCCACGCTGGGGCTTGGCAGGGCTTGGCTCTGCCTGGGTGCCTGGCTCCTCACTGGCAGCCCGGCCCTGCCAGGGCCTGGCAGGGATTTCCTGAGCTGCAGTGCCCTTGTGGCAGCTCCTGGCGGGCTCTGAGCGACGTTGCTTGCTTTTGCAGATGGGAAGATGCGGGGATTTGCCTTCGTGCAGTTCAGGAACATGCTGGAAGCAGCCAAGGCCCTCAGAGGGATGAACATGAAGGAGATCAAAGGTCTGGGCTTGCCTCTTCCCCCTCCCCCTTGTGCTGGGCCCGCCCTGGGCTGGTCTCCTGCATTCCCTGCTGCAGAGGTGGTCTGCAGGGCAGCCTCCCATTCCCTGCCTGCCTCCCCTTCCTTGTGGGGCTCTGCGCAGTCCTTAGGAGACCCTCTGGATGGTTGATTCACTCAGGAGAGCTGAGCAGGGCCAGGTAGTGCCTGTGCCCTGCCCTCCATGGCCAGGCTGCTGAACGTATCCCAGTGCCCTCCCTGCGAGGCAGCCGGGCTCGAGGGCCGCCTGGGCGGGGGGACGCTCACAGCACGCTCTGACGTCCCTTTTTGCCTCCCCAGAGCGGCTGGTAGCTGTGGACTGGGCAGTGGCCAAGGATAAGTACCGAGCGACGCAGGGCTCCCTGCCCTCCGGTGAGTGCCTGCGGCTGTTCTGGCAGGACCCAGGCATCCCCGCCTCTGCTCTGAGTGCGGTTCTGGGCCCTGCCCTGTGCCCCATCGCATCCCTCTCGTGGATTCCTGGCAGCAGGGGCAGCAGTCCCCGCTGCCCGCAAGGCAGAGAACAGGTTGCTGGGGAGGACCTGTCATATATATTGTTTCATGTTTTGTTCCACCCTACAGAGGACAAAAAAGAGAAACCTGAAAAGACCCAAGAGCAGACCCCAGATGATGCTAGTGAAGAGGAGGAGGAGGAGAATGAAGCAGCTGGACAGGATGAGCAGTCCCTGTCCCAGGCGCGAGGCCGGTGAGCAAGAGAAAGGGCTTTGCTGGCTGGAGACGGAGAGAAGTGAGAGCTGGGGCTGATCCTGGGGGGACTCAGCTTGCTTTGGGACTTTGCCAGCACAGCCCTGGGGTGGCAGAACCCTCTGCCTGGCTCTGGGGCAGTACCTCGGGCTCTGTCTGCCCCAACCCTCCCTGGAAACTGTTTCTTTTGCAGCCTCTGCCACCCACACAGCCAGAGCTGGGGGCGTCTGTCCCCCTTCGGGAGTCTAGGATTGCACCGTGTCCCCAGCACAGGGCTGGCAGGCCTGGGGCTGCCCCTGCTTGGGCGCTCTGTGGGGACTGGGGATTTGTCAGGGCCGCTGTGGGGTCAGGGGCTGCGTGGCTCAGCACTCCCACGCGGCGTTTCTTTTGCAGCCTCTGCCACCCACACAGCCAGAGCTGGGGGCGTCTGTCCCCCTTCGGGAGTCTAGGATTGCACCGTGTCCCCAGCACAGGGCTGGCAGGCCTGGGGCTGCCCCTGCTTGGGCGCTCTGTGGGGACTGGGGATTTGTCAGGGCCGCTGTGGGGTCAGGGGCTGCGTGGCTCAGCACTCCCACGCGGCGGGAGCTCAGCAGCGAGCCCTCGAGGAGGCCACCACCTTCGATGGCCGCAAGCTCAGTGTCACGGTGGCCAGGCAGAAGCTGAGGGAAGGGAAAAACAAGAAGCAGCAGCAGTGTGGACTCACGTGCTGCCTTGGCTGTTGCAGGCCTGGGAAGACGACAGTGACCGTGGACAGCAGTGAGGAAGAGGAGGAAGATGAGGAAGATGATGAAGCAGCCAGCGAAAGCAAAGATGACGGTGACCAGGAGGAGGGCTTGGATGACGATGAGGAGGAGGAAGGTCTGTTCTGTCCTGGTAGATGAGATTGGGAGGCAGGGAGCCAGGGTTGGTGGTGGGCTGCCGTGGGCAGGGCACCGGGGTGCCCCTGGGCATAGCCTGCACCCCTGTTAGCTACTGGAGGGGCTTTACTGGGGTACTGGGACTCCTGCAGTCTGGCTGCCCCCTTGCAGCGGGGACGCAGCATCCCCCCACGTGCTAAACCGTGCTGGATGCTCTCCAGTTCCAGAGTCAGACGCACCCAAGAAGAAGCGGAAGGGACAAAAGCCTCCCTCAGACGTGGATGAAGGGAAGACCGTCTTTATTAGGTAGGTGCTGTGCACGGCCTGCTGGGTGGAGGGGTGAGGGCTGGTGTCGGTGTAGGGTTGATCCTTACGTTTCAGCTCCTGCCAGGGAAACCCTGTTGGGGGGCCAGAACAGGGGCACCCCATCCATGAGTTGTCGGCAGGGCAGGGAGCAGGAGCGCCCGCTCTGTTGGTAGCGAGGGTGGCCGGATGCTGCTGGCTGCAGTGGTCCCAGCCTCGGGCTCCTGGAGCAGAGGGGAGCTTTGCAGCATGGGGGGCAGGCAGGACCTTCATCTCCAGCCATGGTGGATGGGACTGGATCCTCCCCTGCTGGGGGTGTGTCAGGAGCGTCTCCAGGATGGCCATGGGTACTGTAGAGACCCTCGTCCCCGCTCCCCGTAGTGGTGTGGGACCCGCTGCCAACGCAAATTGCCTGTCTGTGGGGCACAGGGCAGCTGTGTTTCCCCAGGATCCCTTGCTCAAGGCTGATGAGGATCCCCAGGGATGAGGATCCCCTGCTGGATACTGCCTGGAGAGCCTCTGAGGGGTGCTGGAGAGAAGAGGTGTGCACTGTGGCGGGCCATGATGGTATCTCGTTGCCCTGGCAGGAATCTGTCCTTCGATACAGAGGAGGAAGCCTTGGGGGAGATGCTGCAGCAGTTCGGAGACCTCAAGTACGTCCGCATCGTCCTGCACCCTGACACAGAGCACTCCAAAGGTAACCCTGCCTTGAGCGGAGGGGAAATGTCTGCTTCCCTAGATGCCTGGGGACACCCCATCCTCTGCCAGGGCCCCTGCAAGGGGGGAACAGCCATGGCACCCTGGAAGGGAGCTGCTGTCCCTGGGTCCCCCAACGCTATTGGAGGACCCTTGGGCTGTATTCACCTCACCTGCTGGGGGAGGGATTTGTCTCTGTCTCCTCTGCGGGAGGTCACTGAGCAGTGGCAGCTGAGCATGCCTCTGTCCCCAGGTTGTGCCTTCGCCCAGTTCCTGACACAGGAAGCAGCCCAGAAATGCCTCCAGGCTGCCCAGGAGGAGAGCGAGGAGAGGGGGGGGGGGACAAGACGTAGTGTCGGGGGCTTGGAGAAGAGCACCAGCCCCCTAGTTTCTGACCCAGGGGATCCCTGGGGTGCTGTAGGGAAGGGCCCAGCCCTGCTCTCTGGGGTTGTTTCAGCCCCTCTTGCTGCATGTCCTGCGAGCTCCCCTGCCCAGGGAGGTCCTGACTGGCTTTGTCCCTCTCTGCCCCCTTGCAGGGAGAGGGGCTGCGCCTGGATGGGCGGCTGCTCCGTATCGACCTGGCCGTGAGCCGCGAGGAGGCCCAGAAGCTTCGTGGGCAGAAGGTGAAGAAGCCCACGGGCACCCGCAACCTCTACCTGGCTCGCGAAGGCTGTGAGTACCTTTCCCTGCCTCTACCAAGCTCCCCTCTGCCCCCTGAGGACAAGGGGCTGTGGTGCCGTGGCCCTTTGGAAAGGAGGTGCTGAGGCCTGGGCTGTGCTTTGGGTCCTGGTGCAGCGTTCCTGCTCCCTGTGGGAAGGTTGTGCCTCAGCGTCCCTTGCTGGGCTCGCTGGGCCATGCCAAGAGGCCTCTCGCTCAGTGAGAGGGATGATACGGGCCCTACTGGCTGTCCAGAGCTTTGCGGGCATCGCTGTGAGCAGGTTGTGTCTGGAGCAGGCTCGTGGCAGCCAGAAGGGCAGGGCCTGCCTTGAGGTCAGTAGTTCAAATCGCACACGAGGTGGTTCGTTGCAGCCCCGTGCTGAGGACGGGGCAACTGTGGCCCCCTCCCAACAGAGCAGCGTTGCGTGCCAGGTCCGCAGGGCTGCTGGGGGAGCAGGGTTGGCTCTTGGGAGCAGAGTCCCCAGCCCAGGGGATGTCAGGGTGCCCCTGACACCTCCATCTTGTCCCCCTGCAGTGATCCGAGCTGGGACGAAGGCTGCAGAGGGAGTGAGTGATGCAGATATGGCCAAGCGAGCACGGGTGAGTGTGTGTAGGTCCTGGGGAAGGAGGGAGATGGGAGTGCTGCTATGTTAGTGTCTGACTTGAGGGGGAGGCCACACAGCCTGACGAGGTAGGGATGGCATGCCCCGATGGAGGGACGTTCCCAGTAACAGCTCCTTGCTCCCAGTTTGAAGAGCTCAAGTACCAGAAGCTGCGAGACCAGAACATCTTTGTGTCCCGCACACGGCTCTGCGTGCACAACCTGCCCAAAGCGGTGGACAGCGCGCAGCTCCGGCGCCTGATGCTGAAAGCTGCTGGCGGTGGCAAGGATGTGCACATCAAGGAAGTAAGTGTCGTCCCGTCCTGCACACCGCACACGTCCCTGCTCTCTGTGAGGGCCAGTGCGCAGCCCTGCTCCGTGTGGCTGCTGCCAGGCCACCGTGACCGCATTGTGGTTTTGTTGTCCCAGTCCTGTGAGGCTGCTGGGGGTGGGCTGTGGGGTGGTGGTCACTGTGGGCACAGTGGGGCGCCGACAAGGTGGGCGTGCCACAGGGAGGTGGGACAGCGGTGCCTAGGGCTGTGGGGGCAGCGTGGCGTGGAGGGTGGCACGAGGCTGGTGGGGATGAGGCAACGGGGTGCCGGTAGGAGGCCTGGTTGCAGCTTGGACAGCCCCTGCTGTGTCCCCAGTGCCGGGTGATGAGGGACCTGAAGGGGCAGGGACAATCCCTGGGCTACGCCTTCGTGGAGTTTGCGGAGCACGAGCAGGCCCTGGCCGCCCTGCGGCACACCAACAACAACCCCCAGCTCTTCGGGCCCCAGAAGGTGAGTGCGTCTCACAGGAGCAGCGGGTTTGGGGCCTGGCTCTGGATTCCTCTGGCCCACTCCAGCGTGGGGGATCCACCCTGGGGTATGCGAGGGGAGGCATCGCAGGGGCCTGGACCCCTTGGGGGAGCTGGGATGGTGCAGAGTCTGCCTGTGACATGTAGGGTCTCCACTATTCCCCCCCTGTCTCTTTGATGCTGGGACTCTGCAGGGTGTCCCCTGTTACAGTCACAGCCACAACACACACAGCCTTGTCCTGCCCTGCCAGGCCCCTTGGGATCTACCTGTCAGTGTCTACCCAGCAGATTTACAATAAAATTGTACTAGTATCAGAACAGCAAACGCTGCGATATACACAGTGGTTGGGCAGCTATCCCATTTTAACCTCATTTTCACCTTGCTGACCAGGAATCAAAATCAAAAAAGACTGTAAAATGGAAGTCCCTAATGCCAGGTGAATTAATGGATTCTTTCTCCCGAGTAGTTCCGATCTGAGGAGATCTAGAGCTTAGAAAAATCACTTAGGTATCATTCTTGCAAACCTTCTCACCTCTCAACACACTCTGTAGGGCAATGTAGGGTCCCCCTGTCATCCCATGCTCTGGAGTCTCCCTGTCACCTCCATCCTGCCCAGTAGGGCACTGGGGGTGTCCCCCATCCTGCTCCCACACCTGGGTTTTCCCCCCTTCTGTCACCCCCTTGCCCTGCACAGCTCCGTGGGGTCTCCCCCATCACCTTTCCACTTTGCAGGGACCATGAGGTCATCACACCCCTGCCCTGTGGGTCACAGGTAGAGAGACTGGAGCTGGGGGGGCTCCTGATAGTGGGGGGCTGTACCCCAGGAGCTGTGTGCCTGACTCTCACTCCGTTCCCCTCTGGGCTGCTCTCACCCCCCTGCTCTGCCCCCAGAGACCCATCGTGGAGTTTTCGCTGGAGGACCGCCGGAAGCTGAAGATGAAGGAGCAGCGAGCTCAGCGCAGCCTGGTAGGAGACGCTGCCGAGCAGGGTCATGCGCGGCGTGTCCCCCTCACCCTGTGCATGCCTGGCCCCAGCCTCCTTCCCCTGGTTCCCGTGTCCCCCCAGTCTGGCCCCTGCTGACCTGCACGTACCTGTCCAGCACCATCAGAGGTCTCCCAGGCCCTGGTCCCGTGGCATTGCAGACACGCTCGGAGCCTAGACGCCCTCCTGTGGCTACCAGCAGCCAAGCTGTTGCCCCGCTGTCCTGTGCTGGCTGGGGCAGAGTGATTCCCCGCTCTCTGCGGGGCCAACCTGCTGCCCCCAGCCAGACCTTGTTGGGCGAAGGGCTCCTGGCGCTGACTTGGTGTTTGGCACAGCTCAAGCTGAAACCGAAGCCAGTGGAGAAGGCACCTGCTGCTGCTGGGACGGCTGAGCCGGCAGGACCCCGGAAGAAGCGCCAGGGGAAGAAGAAACTTGGCTCCAAGGGGCCTGAGGGCTCCCAAGGTCCTGGGAAGCAAGCAGAGCCAGGACCTCAGGACCGCAAAGGGCAGGAGAAGCCCCGGGGGCAGGAGGCTGCCCCGGCTCCCCCAGGACGCCCCCCCACAGTGCCCTGGGCTGGCTTCCGCACGGAGGCGCAGATAGAGCGAGTGGAGCTGCCGGACGGCACCAAGCGGAGGAAGGTGCTAGCGATGCCATCGCACCGCGGGCCCAAAATCAGGTAGGTGGGGCGCCACCTTCTCCCCGTTCTCAGCTGAGGAATCCCTGCAGGGCCCTTCCCCTCTTCAAGGGTGTCTCAGCAAGGGGGCCAGGGTTCCCCCTCTGCTTGGGGGTCTCTGGCTTCTCCCTTGCTTCCTGGGGGCTGTCCTGGAGTCCTTGGCAGCCGAGCATTGTAGGCACGGCCGTGGCCGGGCTGCACCTCTGGCTGCTGGAAGACAGCTCCCACGGTACCGTGTGGCACCCGCAGGTGTCTCGGCATGCTGTGGCAGGGAACCCACGCCTGGCCTTTCTCGCCCGTGCAGGAAACGTGACAAGGGGAAGGTGAAGCCAGTCCCCACTAAGCAGCCCAAGGGCAAAGCGCAGCGGCGGAAAGAAAAGCGCAACGTGGCCCCCACGCAGGTAGGGACGAGGCAGACGCTCCCAGCTCTGGCTGCTCGTGGTCAGGTCCCCCTTGCTATGGGGTGCGACAGGCTCGTGGCTTCCCTCATTCCTTCACCCTGGGCAGACCCAGCATATGACACTCCCCTCCTGGGGCTCCTGCATCCCTGTGGAGGTCCTCTGGCCCGACCAGAGCAGAGCCCTGGAGACAAATCTGTGAGGCCTGGCGAGCTCTGCTCCTGTGCCTCACTTTGCCTCATGTCGCCGCATTTCTGGAGCCTCCCTTTTTCTCTTGCGCCCTCCGCCCACCCGTGCTGCTGCTCTAGGGCTCTGGTTTTGCCCCCTTGATCTTGTGGGCAGCAGCAGGAGTGTGAGGCAGCACCCTGCAGGCTGCCCTCGTCCCCACGTCTCCCGTGCGCTGTCCTCATCGCCGCGTCTCGCCCGCAGGCAGCCTCGAAGCGCCCCGCAGGCAGCAAGGCCGAGGCCCGTTTCAGCCAGCTTGTGGAGCAGTACAAGAGGAAGATCCTGGGCAGCTCCGACGGTGCCCCCGCAGCCAAGAGGAGCAAGTGGTTCGAGAGCTGATCCTGCCTGGCACAGCAGGAGGGACGTACCCCTTGGGGCAGCAGGGCCTGTACCCTCGACACCCTGCCTGGCACAGCTGGGGACACGTGGCCCATGGAGCCTGTGCCCTTGGGACCCTGCCTGGCACAACCACGGGGCTGGATGCGAAAGGGCGAGCAGATCTGTGCCCTCAGCACACAACCTGCGCCAGGCCCTGTTCCCCGATCCCGCTGGTGTTGTGGGGCATGTGGGACTTATCTTTTCCATTTTGTTAGTAATTTTTTAATCTGCTTGCAAGAAAAAAGCTGCTTGGTGCTGGACGAGCACCAAGAAGAGCACTCCCTCTTGTGTTCTCACTGCATCGGGGTGCATTTCTCCCCCAGCTGGGTGCTAGGCAGGGGAGGAGAATTGCTGGCTGCCCCGGCAGGGGGCAAGGGCCTCGAGAGCATTTCTTTGTGCTGCTCAAATCCATTTTGTCCTGCTGGGGCTGGTTTCTGTTCCCAGGCATGACCTCCATCTGCATACACCCTGGGCTCTCTGTCCTCCTGCTTCGAGAAAAGGGCCAAGTTCTCCAGCTACTGCTTCCCTCCCCCCGGCACCCATAGGCCTCCCTGGTCAACCCGTCCGACCTGGGCTCCGTGGGTGCCCTATCCCTTCTCCTTGCCCATCCTTGTACTGCGTTTTGGGACTCCGTCCTTGGGGGCAAATGGCCTATTCCCCCAATGACAGGGCACAGCAGCCCTCAGCACCTGCCTCATCAATGACAGGGGCCTTTACTGTAAAGGAATAGAAATATATTTTAATAAATTGCCCCTTGGAGTGAGGATCCTGCTCTCTCCCGGCCTTCTGGGAGCTGCCCCAGCCCTCTGTCCCCTCTGCCCTGCTGGGAGCCGGGCTGGGGTGGGATGGGGCAGCAGCACGGTGGGTGCTTATGGCACCTGGGGCGTGGAGCCAGCCCCTCCTTGGATCCCCTTCCTCCCTTTGGCCTTGGGTGGGGGTAGAGGGAGAGGGCTTGAGAGTGACATCTCGCTTGTCCACAGCTCCCGGGGCACAGATATGTCCCTTAGGTCGAGAGGGTCCCTGTGGCTGTGGGGGGCAGGGGGGGGGTGTTGGTACCTGGGTACCTGTGGCCTTGGGGGCTCCCTGCGCCTGTGGGTGTGGAGCCAGGAGGTCCCTGTCCCCACGGAGGCAGAGCAGGACACTTGATGCCCCAGGTGTCTGGGTCAGAGCTGGGGGGGGAGCAGAGCCCCTTGGGGGGGGGGAGTGCCCCATTTCCATGGGCTCGAGGGGCCCTGTACCCCAAGTGCCCACAGGCTCAGAGCGAGGGTGATCCTCCTGCCCTCAGCGCCCTGCTGCAGGTGCTCTGGGGATGGGAGTTGGGGGGCAGGTCAGTGCCTGTGGGGTCAAACCTATGGGGGGGTCCCTGAGCCCCTAGGTGCCTACAGCCCTGTGCTCGGTGCCCAGTGCCCACGGGTCGGGGGTCCCATGGTGATGCCCGGTGCCCGAGGGCTTCCCTGCCCTGTGGGTCAGCCCCGGGCCGGGTGCCCGGT